TCTGTGGGCTGCTTGGTCTCATCCAGGATCCGGAGAACAGGGCAGGGGTTTTACAACCAGGCCAGGCGGGCAGGCTGGTGGAGCAGGTCAGGTAGAGGGGACTGCAGTATGGCTCAATGGAGGGTAAGGGGTGGAGTAGGCTGTGGGATGCAGGGTCTGGGGTGGAGCTGCCAGCAGAGAGTGGGGAGTGAACCCCAATACCTCATCCGCCAGAAGTCAGAGGTCTGGAATGTCCTTCTGGAAGACACAGCTCTCAGAACAGCCTCCCTGTAAGGTCTTCAGCACCTCCCCCCACCCCACTCTCCCCGGCACACTTCAGGGAGTGGTAACCCAAGCCAGCCTGGTCCAGCTGCTTAAGCTCCTCCTACCCCCACCACCCAGCATGGTGAGGGCCCCCTTTGATGACCATGTGGTGTTGAGTACAAACCTTTGCCATCAGTATGATCCCAGAGGTCTGTCACTGTGGTTTTTTTCACATCTCCCCTGAGACCATCACCACCTCTGGGCCGTCCCCCAGGAGCTCCAAGTGTTTGCACCGGCAGTACCTGGCATGCAGTGGGTTTTCACGTGGGTTGGATGAAACCAGGGACAACCGCATGGCTTTTCTGAAGGCCTGAATGGATCTGTGGTAGAGCTCGCATGTGTGCATACCGCACTCGTAGGTACCCGTGCCAGAAGTAGGTACCCGTGCGAGTACACACGTGCCCACACAGACAGCTCCCCTCATCACAGAACCACAGACGTAGGCATCCCGCTGGGAAGCATTCCAGGCTGGGGACTTGACAGGGAGACCCGTGCGCCTGAGGGCCTGAGGGGTAGCAATGGGCCCGAACGCGCCCGCACAGACCTTGCCCCGGCTGGACCCTGGGCCTCTGGAATCAATCAGTAAGAAACACTTGGGAAAGGCACTTGGCGGTTTAGCAGGCTTAAGGCAAATTATTTTTAGCCAAAGTAATTGACACAGTGAAGTCGTTCTTGGCAAAACTAGCATTTTTAACAGTAAAAGAGATTTGACTGTTAAATCAGCCCCCAACAAGAGTTATTTTATGTAACCAGAATTTTACCATTCTTAGAAAAAGATGCTGCAGCAGAGAAGCGGTCGGGCAGCGCAGCATCCCCGAGGGGGAGCCCGACAAGACGGTTAGCCCCTGTGCCCGAGTCCTGACGGTGATGATTCTTAGGCGCCGAGCCAGTGGTGACACCTCAGCCCCTGTCCAGCCGCTGTGCTGTGTGTCAGGCCCGGGACCGCACCGCAGCTGTCACAGACGGCGGTCTCTTTGCGGACTTCCCGGAATCGGTGCTTCAGCCAGTAACCTCGCGGGATCGCCCGCACCCTGTTGCTCCCCAGGCCGAAGGTCTGGCTCTGCTGGGGGGCCATCTCACCCATCCTCTCACCTCGGTGCAGGCACCAGGTGTATGCATGCATGTGCACATGTATGAGTGCATGTGTGCGTGTGTGCATGTGTGTATATGGTGGGAGAAGTGTCTGGCAGGAGAAACACTGATGTTGGCTTTTCACCAAGCAGCCCCAGGGGTCCCAGGTCCAATCACTTTACGGTGTTCCCCGTGGAATCCTCAGCACCCCTTGGAGGTGGCTACTACTATGGTCTCCATTTGGACTTGAACTTAGGAAGCCCCAGCGTCTAGGTGACTTGCCTGTGGCCCCCGGGCTGGTACTTGACCGGGTGTTCTTAGAACGTCCACAGTCAGCTCAGTATGAAGTATGTTTGACGAGTGAATGATAGAGCCAAAGACAGAATGGCATAGGCAGAAAGGGGCTCAGGAGGGGGCTGAGGCGCAAACACCAGGAGAGGCCTGAGCTCCGAGCTCCTCCGTGTCCCTCTTGGCTGGCTCAGGGGCGCCCAGGTTTCCTCGTCATCACCTATTTTCCCTTGAAATCACACCCCTTCAACACTCTAAAGCACAAATCTCATTTACCTCTGAGATTTATCTCTTAAATCTCACCACAGCCCCATGCTGTGTCCCCTGCCTTCCCTGCAGAGGCCAACAACCCTGGCTGTGCAGAACCCAGCTCCAGGGGCGGGGAGCCCTGCCAGCCTGGATTCCCTCTGGGCCAGGAGGTCCCCAGCTTGCAGTACCTGTGGTTTGAGCCAATGAATCATCTCAGGGTAGAAATGTGAAATGGTCATTCAGCCTGGTAATTAGAAAGTTTGACTTTTTAGCAACCCACTCAAACCAAGCGTTAATGACACTCTTCAGCCTGGGGAAGAGTTATCAGTTCTAGTTCTTTCCTCTGCAGACTTATTCTAGTAATTATTCTCTCGCATTTCTCAGCCCCTTTAACAATTTTTAACTGAGGTAGAATACACATAAAATTGACCGTTCTAACCATTCTCAAGCACGCACTTCAGGAGCATGAAGTACAGTTCCCCGCCCCAGCACCTCCCCACAGAGTCTGTCCCCACTCATTCCGCATCTGACCCCTCCCTGCCCCCTCCCCTCCTACTCTGTCTCTGTGAATCGGACCCCTCCGTGGACCTCAACCGAGAGTATCGCCCCTCTGTGATGGGCTTACTTCACTTGCAGCGCCTTATAAAAAGCGACATGAGGTGACAGGATATCCAGCTGGAGGTCCAAAGTCCAGCACGGAGCGAGGCAGTTACCTGAACGGTCAGGTCAGGTATCAGTGCTCCTGCCCGGGCGTCACCAGGCCGCGCCCAGTGTGTTCCCAGCCACTCCGCTTGGCCTGTGTAAAGCCTAAGTATCTTATCTCCACAATCCCTCTAATAAAAGTGTGTTCTTTCCTCCACACCAGAGGCAGTACAAGGCCAGGCTCAAGAACGGGGTGCAGACTCCCAGGAAACAGGACTCAGGCTCAGAACTGCCCTTGACACGCGTCGAGCAGCAACAAAGGCCCGTCTGACAAGCAGAGAAAGGCGACGTGCCGGGGTTGTGGGAGTGGGGGGGTTCAGAGCAGTTGAGCAAAATGCTGAGGGGCGTCTGTTGCTACAGAATTTCCGTGATTGGGCCTTCAAGCCTTCCGATTGCCAGAAACACACATTCTCACCCAGCTAGCTCGGAGCAGGGAGGGGACCGGCAGGTGGGGGGCCCCACCATTGGGGGGGGGTTCTGGACAGAACCTTGGAATATCTCTGAGTTTTTTTTCTCCTTCTAAGACTGCTGTTGCACATTTGGCACTATCCGCCGACGTGAGTCTGGCAGGAGCATCTCATTTGCGGGACGGTTTGGAAGGGTCGGCAGGCCCACGTGGCTCCTGTCTGCGGTGAATCGTCAGCCCTTGGGAATGAGGCAAAAGTGGATACATTTCTTTCAAGAGCCTCTAATCTGTTGCTGAGTTACTCTTCCCAAGGCTGGGCGCAGGCAAAGCTGGGTTGGGATCTTGCTTCTGCCATTTAATCGGGTGGGAGTGAAGTGGAGAGGGTGGTTGCCTGGACCTCGTCCCTCAGCTCTGGGAAGGGAGGCTGTTGTGGGGATAGAGGTGGACCATCCCGTTAGCATCCTGGCAGGAGAGGGGGTGCCCTCAAATCGGGAAGTTTAGGCAGAAATTAATGAAGGGGTGGTTTACAGAGCTATGTGGGGGGCCCATGTAGGACGTCCCAGGCTTAGCATAGTACCAGCACTGGCCCAGCACGTAGCCTTGCCCTGGACCCCAAGGGCAAGGGGAAGCAGTTACCAGTCACTGGACCTGTATTCAGCGGGGCCGTGTAGACAGGCTACCTGGTTGAAGCTGAGATCAGTCAGCTCACGGCCACCCTACACCACGCAGCTGGGGGTGAGGATGTTGGCCTTCCCTTCTTCCCACCCACCTGCTGCTCTGTGCCCTGAGGGCAAACCCCGTGGAAGCTGGGGAGCCAGGCAGCTCCTTGCAGCCCCCATGCCCCCAGCGCAGAGGCCAGGAAGGAGGACGGAGAACAGGGCTGAGGACGAGCCGGGGCACAGCGGCGGGTCTGCACAGCGATGCTCGGGCTGAGCACTGCCTTCCTGTCACCTTGCGGGCAAAGCTGTGTTGATCTAGCTCAGTTCCTGTGCCAAGTGGGCATCGCGGAAACACTGGAGTCAGGTCCCACCTCGGCCCCATCTTGTGGCTGCGTTGCCACACGTGGTCCTTTAGTGGTGGTTTATCAACCCTTAGCCCCCATTTCCATATTAAAATATGGTCACCCTGGGGACTCAGTCTACAGACGTCTCTGGGTGAAAATGTCCTGGTCTCCCTGAGCTCTCGTCTTCCCTTGGCACTTCCGGGGCACGAAACACACTCCTGGAATGGGCGTTGGGGTCGGTCCACCTGGTCTCTACCAGCTGTGCACCTCTGGATTCTGCCACCACCACCCAGTAAGTTCTTTACAGGTAGGGACCCCGCGTGGCCTTTGCACTTTGCTCTCTCCTTAGCATGGGCTCAGTAAAGTCTGATGAATGGAAAACTGAACAGTAACTTCACACTAAACCAAACACCCAAACCACACAAGGCCCGCGCTATCTTATCAAGAACTGCAAGGGCAGGGCGTCCGGCTGTGGAGGTGGCGGTGGCGGTTACTATCGAGCGCTCATCGTGTAGAGGCGTGAAGTGACTCCCACTGGTAGGTAACAAAGGGCCTGATGATTGCAGAGCCCGGGGACTTTGCATGTCCGTGGGTGTGTATTGGTACAGACATAGGTGTGTGGTTGTCATTTTAGGGTTATTTATCCCCCTATATTTTGCCTTGACATGGCCTCCGAGCACAGGCAAAGTAGTGCACTGTTCCAGCTTTGGGAGGATTCATGGGGAGACGGGCCGGTCGACACAAAACCCAACCAAGGAAATCCTGGAGAGTAACTTTGACACATCCTCTCTCTGTCTCACTGACCTTAAAACCTAACCCCGAGTCAGACACTCCCCACGCTAGCACGTTATAGTCCCAAGCCCCCTCCACATGTGCTTCTCCCCACCACGCCCAGGGTTAGTCACGTAGTATTTAATCACACTGGCCTCACGACGGCCAGGCGGCTGGTGTCACGGGCGTCACCAGGCCCACGGTCAGGCACTGCCATCGCACCTCCGCTCTCCCCGGGCTGGGCTCGCCTCTGGCGGCTGTGTTTGCGCTCACGTCACATCTGCCCCACCTGTCAGTCCACATTCCTAGGTGCCCTTCACTTTACCTGCTAAGGAAGACAGGACATAAATCATGGCACCTTTTAATCTGCAAATTTTGTTCCTGTTTTCACCTGGACTTTGAAAAAGGGATTTAGGGTGCCCCATGGCCGCTGAGCAGGAGCCAGGCGAGCCCGGGAAGGGAAAGCCCTTAAAACTTCTAGGAATTTTAGATATTGAAAACATCCCCTGTGCCCGGGATTCGATATTATATGGTTCATTGGGATCTGTTGTGGCTGGCCTGGGACATTTTTTGTTAACTAGTAGAATTAGAAGATCATGTGATGTTGGAGTAGGAGGATTTTTCTTAGTGACTTTAGGATGCTTTTTCCATTGTAGGTATAACTATGCAAAACAAAGAATCCAGGAAAAAATTGCCAGAGAAGGAATTAAAAATAAGATTTTATATGAAAGTACCCACCTTGATCCTGAAAGAAAACAAACCAATGGCAACAGCAGCAGCTGAGCAATCTCGGGCATAGAACACCCAAATACAACGGAAGTCAGTGTGAAAAAAGCTGAGATCAACTATAAAAAACCTACCTTTTATGTACCATAAAGCCTTCAATCAAATAAATAATTTGTGTAAATTGTATTTTATTTACCTACTGCCACTATGTCATATAGTGGACTATGTTTAGAAGTGTTTCCTTGAACTAAATAGTGAGCATGCATGACAACATCAAGAAATAAATCTCTCCCAATTACAATTAAAAACAAAAAAAAGAAGAAAAAAGAAAAAGGGATTTAGGAGATGCCCTGCTTTAAGAAAGTCTGATTTTTGGGGGCCTCTCTGGTGGCGCAGGGAATAAAGACAACACTATCAAGCTATTGTCAGCCACTGCAGCATGCGTTCAATCCCCGGCCAGCCAGGTTGCTGACCCACATGGTGCGGCAGACCTCTCCTGACTCCCCGCTGCTCCCCTCAGCAGTGTATTTCAGTAGATTCACCTGTTTCTCTCTCTGGTGAATCCTCTCATTCCCCCTCACCTCTGGCTTACACCCCAGTTCTTGTGTGCATAAATAAATAAATCTTTCATAAAACAATAAAGAAAGCCTGATTTTCTTATTTTAAAGATTTATTTATGCATACAAGAATTGGGGTACAGGCTAGACATGTGGGAGGGCGAGAGGAATCTCTAGAGACAGAGTGGGGAACAGAACAGATGGATTGGCTGAAATCCACTGCTGAGAGGAGCAGCAGGGAGACAGGAGAGGTCTGCTGCGCCATGTGGGTCACCTCTCTGGCCAGGGATCAAACTCGTGCTGCAGTGGCTGCAGATTACTTCATAGTGCTGTATCTTAACACCTTGCACCACCAGGGAGGCCCCCAGAACACCTGATTTTTTTCAACAAAATCTGGATGGATGGAACAGAAGCCATGGCAAGATGGCTTCCAGGAGTCCACAGCATTTCCTCCAAGCTGCCCAAGGCGCATCTCAGCAGTATACTGGCTGAGCGTTGGCCTCGCCCTCGGGCCACAGCCTGGGACAGTGCCTTGCTCTGGCTTTTTCATTTTTAAGAACCCCTATTTTCCTTCAAATCATATGGCCACGTGCCTGAAGGGTGGGAGCCTGCTGACTTTGCAGGGTGAAGCCTCACTCTCTAAGCCTCCAGCTTCCATCTGGCTGATGCATGGATGGGCGCCTCACTACCCCCCTCCCCCTCAGCCCCCCCTCCTCCCACCCAAGGAGGGCTCCAGTCCTCGGACAGTTGGCTGGGCCCAGGCTGGCACTCAGCTTCTCACAGACCCCTCCTAGCCCAGGTTTCCTGTCAAACACCTTGAGATCCAGCGCCCCCAGGGAAAAGTAGCTTTGCTTTGCAGGCAGCCCACATTCCCTTAGCTGCAGTTTCCAAATCCAGAAGGCTCTGGAAACCAAATGGCTTTTGCTGCCTTATTTGTTAGTTAAGCTTATCTTGGTCTGAAATCATCGGGGGAGGGGAGTTACTCCTCTGAATTGGTGGCTTTTGGTGGCTTATGTTTATTGCTGTTAGTCTGAAAGTTCTCCTGCTTTTCTGCAGAGATTATTTTGGGTGTGATCATCCCTCCTACAGTATGCTGTGCGCCCCACACCCCATGCCACTCTGGGCAGGCACCCCAGATCAGAGGCATACCAGTCCGGGGCAGGTCTGGCAGGACCCGATGGCCCTCGGGCTCTGTGCCAGGCGCTTCCTGCTGAGACTGCCTGGCTGGTCTTCCCCCAAGCTCTGCATCCAGAATCCCCAGGACACCTGACAGTCACTGAAGGCCTGGCTGTAGGTGAAGGGTGCCCTGAGGGGCAGTCACCACCACAGGTGCTCAGGGCCAGCACGGGGCCTAGGGCGTACTGGGTTCATCCCGAGAAAGCAGAGTTCAGGGACAGTCTACCGACTACTAAATTTATCTTCCTTCCTTCCTTCCTTTGTTCAACAGAGATTTGTGTGTCTGCTCTTAACAAGGGCTGGCACTTGGCTGGGGGAAGCAGCAGTGACACGTCCCTTCTGCTTAGTATCTGCAGCTGACCGTGTGTTGTTTCTCTTTCCCAAAGAGGCGTTTCCCAGCTCCTGGACTCCAGCCCCCTCCTGTCGCATCTGCTGCTGTCCGTGTTGTCCCCACCCCCACGTGTTTGGGGTTTACCTCCTGAAGTTCTCTCTGACACCCTCAGAAGAGCCCCGGTGGATGCAGGAAGCCACAGATAGTAACAAATCCTACATGCACTGGGGTTCACCATCCACATGTGTATATCTATGATCACGTTAAATTGATAAATCAGGCTCAGAAGAGATTAACCACAATAACGAATAATAAAATTGAACAGTTACAGCAATATGCTGTAGTAAAAGTTATGTGAATGCGGTCTCTTCCTCAACATACCTCACTGTATGTGATGTTTTCAGACTGTGGGTGACCACAGGGAGCAGAGTTGCAGAGGCAGAGGGACAGCACCTCCTTGGCTAAGGAACGTGGCTGTGTATGGGATTCCTGCAGCAGACAGGCCTGGTGTGCGCCTGCTGGTTTGGCTTCTGGGCTTGTCAGTGGCCTGTGGGGCTGCCCCTTGCGCAGTCGCTCAGCCTGCGGGCACTTACAGGCCTCCTGTTCAATGGCATCAGACGCCAAAGGGACAGCAGGGCTTAGACTGAAAAGGAAAGGCAATCAAGTAAATGGCTTTTTACCTAGACCTGAAAATGTGAAATTGAGGCGATATGCGCATGATGATTCTTCTTGCATAGACTTTGACTGGAAACAGCAGCTGTGGGGCTGGCATATAGGTTTAGGGGCCGAGGCCCTTGGGGGAACCGTGGCATTTAGGTGCCCCTTGAACACCTCCCTGCTGGAGCCTGGGGGGCCCATGGGCATTGACCCCCACTGCGTGGGGCCCCTCCCTGCCCCTTATGGTGGGCTCTCTAGTTTGGCCAGCTCGGAGGCTCCACCGAAGAGCCTCTAGGTGCCCAGAGGCGGGGCTGCGGAAGGTGGGCAGGGGCTGCGAGATGTGGGCGGGGTTGAAAATGTGGGCGGGGCTGTGGGAGGTGTGTCTGGGGACTGATCAAAGTTTCAAGGGGTAAAATCATCTAAACCTTTGAAGAAAGGCCGGGGATTGTACCTTTGAATAAAAGCAGGGAATTGTTCCTGTGGGGTTCCCAGCAACCAGTCATCAGCATCTTGTTACAATTTCCTTTTTTTAGTTAAATATCCTTACATGGTTTAAAAGCCGGGGAAGGATAAAGTGTTCCTAACACACTCGATGTTGCCTCTGAGCTGCCTGTGGGCAGAGGAGCCCGGAGCCAGAGGCTGTCTCCTTTTCTCTGCCAAAAAATCTGCTCCACACTGCCAGGTCCACGCTCTCAGAAAGGCTGACTACATTAGGCGCGCCCCTAGAAATGAAGTGGCCTGCTTAGCCCTGAAATCTTCCTTAGCTGCCTTTCTTGAGGAAGGTGATTAATCTTATTGAGTCTGAGCGAAAAGATTTACAGGTATGGCTGAACCAGCTCTGTGCACTCTGAAATGGCAGCCCTGTCAATTTTGTTTCTCAACACGTGACAATCTTGTGCAAGTACTGGCTTTTGATGTAAAGGGAGAAAAAATAAAACAATTGCTTAGTTTTTAAAAATTCTCCAAGGCCAAATTTCAAGAGCCCTGGTGTATGTCCTTACGTGGTTTGGGGTTGTAGAAAAGATAATCTGGTCGACGATCAAGGCTAGCCTTACTGTTTTCAATAATGTAGTGATGTAAGTAGACTGTAAAGTTTGCATGTTGTTATACTAATCCCAATCGACAAGTAGGGATCAACTAATATTGTGCCCAGGCTTTAGACAAGTTGAATACTTATGTTTGTGCTCTGGGAAATCTGGCCCCAGTAGATTTAGCACCTGCCTTGAGGTTTTGCTGAGTCTGCTCTGCAGCCCAAGGTGTACGGTCTCAAGTCACAGCAAGTCCAAGCCAGGATCCACAGTGGCTCTCGCAGGTCCTGGTGCTTGACAGGCGATGGTCTGCCTTGGGGGTCTGTGGGACATGACTTGTCAGAGTTCACTGTTCTTTCCCCAAATTCTGTAGAGTGAAAGGGGAAGGGAGGGCTGGGTCATCCTCAGGGAGACCTAGGGATGGAAAGGTCCTCCCAGGATTCAGGGCTAAACTTTATCTTCAAAAGGAAGGATCCAAAGAAGGAAGTCAAAGGAACCAGTTTTATTATGAAGCTGTTTTGAAATGTCCTAAACCTAGGTATTAAAAAGAATGGCTTATGGGGCCTCCCTGGTGGCACAGGGGTTAATACGCAACCTGTGAAACTGTCCACAGCCTCCACAGCCTCTGCAGCACGAGTTCAATTCCCCAGCAACCCAGGGAGCAACCCACATGGTGCAGCAGACTTCTGACTCACCCGCTGCTCCCCTCAGCAATGGGTTTCAGTCTACCTGTTCTGCTCCCCACTCTGTCTCTAGTGAATCCTCTCACCCCCAAAGCCCGCACCTCTGGCATACACCCCAGATCTTGTATGCATAAATAAATAAACCTTTAAAAAAATGAATTATGTTAAAATACGAGTTTTAAAGAACACAGAACTTGCATCTTAGCTCAGCAGAGACTGATGACACCCCTTAACTTTCCCAGGCCACCACTGCACCCCAGACAGGGCGCCCACCCGCTGAGGGTAGGGGAGCAGCTGAGACTCTCGGTGGGGGAGAGCCTTGCTCAAGGGGTGTGGCAGAGCCAGTACTCAAACTCCTGCTGTTGGTGTCTTTTTTTTTCCCACTCGATTCCATTAAAATCCATTGCTCTCACTTACACTTTGAATGGATCTTTACCCGCGCATAGGATTCTAACACCATACAGTAGGGATCTTCTTGTCAAATG